ATATCTTTATGCAAAATATTGCATAAATTACTTCCAATGATAAGAAAACTTCATTAATCAGACATACCTCAATGCCACAAAAGTAGGTGAAAAGGGTGAAAACAGATATCATTACAGGAATAAAGCAATAACTTTCATTTGCATTGTTTCTGCATTGTATATGAGTATTCTCCTAGACATGAAAGCCAAACCATCAACTTGGCGATTCCAGCTAAAAATAACCTATTACAGGAAATCAGGAATAAAAATTATGTTTGACTTCACACAGCAGCTTAGTACTCTACTACAAAGGTTTAAATACAATTGATATAAAATAACTTTAAACACCTTTTTTTTTTTCCTGTTTCTATTACTCTGCTATTATTATTTCTGCTTGCACTGTTCTATTCCTGCTACAGAATCACAGAAGGTTGAGGCCGAAGGGGACCCGTGGAGCCCACCCAGCCCAGCCCCGCGGCTCAAGCAGGGGCACCCACAACAGTCGCCCAGGCCTGTGCCCAGGGCAGGGTGGTGACGTTGTGCAGCCTTCTCAAGGCAGGGCACTAACCTGTTCTAGGTCATTGCAGCAGCACTACTGAAATCAAGGTGAAGAAGGATATTTCTATTCACCTAAATGGAAATACAGTCAGAATCAGGTTGTTTAACCATTTTGGAAGCACATTGCAATGGTGTATCAGTTAAACAGACAAAAATACAGCCTTTTTCTAGGGTGAATTTCAATATTTCTTTGAGCATGCTGTTAGCAGCATTGCTCTCTGTGTTATCTTAATTTCCATGTTTAAATTTTGCTTCCGGTGTGCATTTCAGAAATGTTCTGCAATTCAAAATTTACAGTATTTTAATAATCACAAGTAAGATTAATCTTACCTAATTGTAGTTGTCTAAAGTTACAGTCTAGACTTAGCAACTGGGACATAGGCACCCCCAAAGGGCAATTCATCCTCTATTATCTTTGCTTTTGTTCATAAGATATCTTTCATGGTGAAGCTCAATGGCCTATTTCACGCCTGTAAGTGGTTACAATGAGATCAGTGAAATTACAATCACTTACTGCAAGTCTGAGTGTTGTGCAAAGTGTTATATAAGTGCATTATCCTATTTTTGAAATACGGAAAGATATTTCAAAGTTTAGCAAGAATGATATGAGGGTACTTATCAGTCACATGAGATTTCTTAATACATTGTAGATGATAACTTCGTCCAACTGATTAATATCATTTGCATGCCATCGGCACTGATTTTTTTTATCAGGTTTCTAATATGAAATGTGATATTTGATACACTTGCCGTAGGAAGAGACTCAATAATGTTTGTCAGTTATGTTCACTTTAAGGTGGTAGAGCATCAGCCAACATAATAATATCAGGTTTACAGTAATTGAGGTTGGATCTAAAATTTTACAAACTTTAATTACAACCTTTTGAACATAAACCACAATACACGAATTACTCGATCATAACATTTTTTTCATAAAAAAATAAGAATTCATCCAAAGAATGGAAGATTTAATGACTCTTGGCAGAGTTCCACTTTTTGGTTGATATGAGAATAAAAGCAGACGGCAGCTTCCTTTTTAATTTCGAGAAACACAGTATTTTTTAACACTTAAACATCATTATATTTGACTAACAAGCCAAAATATATATTTTCAAAGCCTTATAAAAAGCCCTTCCATTTAACAGCATGAATGCTGAGATTTAGGAACCAATGTGAGCAAACCCTCTTCCTTCAAACCTTAGAAAATGCAACAAAACAAGCAATTTGAGCCACAAATACCAGAAACCATCAAAATTTGTCATGGTTTGTGGCAAGTTTCAGAGCAACAGAGTCACTGTTGTTGTGTTTCTAACCCCTCAGAACTTCTTGCTCTGTGGTCTACTCAGTTAAGCTTGGAAAGAAAGTGGTGACATCCCAGTCATCTCCGGGTCCTTTCTTTTCTCTGAGTATATCCTGACATATCCAGCAGGCAAATCCTTAGCTGGAATGTTTTGGGGTTACTGCCAAAATTCCCACTCCCTTTGTGGGCCCCCCTCTGCGCAAGGGGCCATGGCAGCAGTAGCATCATGGACACACTGTTCTCTTTTCAAGCATTGAGGCATCTTCCGTCTCATGGTTTTTACTTCCACCTTGCAAAACAGGCATGAAGGCTTCAGTGAAAATCAATAAATTAATAATTATTTCTTAATGCAGAAGGTAAACTTTTTCTGTTATATAAAGTCACTAAAAATGGTTTTCAATGTGAATCCTCTAAAAAAATCTGCTGGTGTAGTAAAAAAAATAGTTAAGCAAATAAAAACAAAACTTAGGAACAGCACAGAGAGGCTGCTGATCAAATTGAGCCCCTCAGAAATAATACATGCTAAGCTAACAAAAGAAAGCAGGGGCAACTGGCCAGACTGAACTTTAAAGTCATTTAGACCCACACAAAATAAAATGCCTGAAATACCAATTCACCCTGAGTATGTAAAGACAGCAGATTCCCTAAGGAATATTTATACTTCAAAGTCTGGGCCTGACACAATCAGGAAGGGCTTGTTTGTACAGCAGGAGTAAATACATCCATTTCCCAGGAGCTCTCTCTTCTGCAAAACTCCCAGTATCGCCAGCACAGATAAAATGAGAGATGAATATTTGTAGAGCACTGCATCGCTGCTGAACTGCCTCTGCATTGATAATTTAATGCATTAATGAATAATAGGAAAAAAGGAATTATAACTGACCCAAATTTTTATATTTCAAAAGTGACATTTATTTCCTTCTGACTGATTCTATGCATAGATAATTGAGTTTCCATCTTCCCCTGAAACTATCTCATGGTTTCCTAAAAAAACTGACATAATCCAAAATTATGTTGTGGTACGCATGAAATCTGAGTTTTCATCAACTTCTTTTATGCTAATGATAAGCAGTCATAAAAAGTTTCTATTGGTCTTACATATTCTTAAATATGAATAGAGATAACGAGGAATGTGCCAGTTCTTAGAACGTTAACTTGGACTAGGGGAGACCTGAATTTCCTGAGATAACTGCAGACTAACTATATTCTCTCTCCTTTTCCCCTTCATCTGTGGATACAGGGTAAAGGGTTCAACAAGCACTCTTAATTTTCAATAATTTCACATCAAATATTTGTAACAAACTCTGCAACGAGTTGTCCACCAGAGCATCTGAGTAGTGCATCTGTTCACTGCATGTCAGTCAAGACACACGACCATGGAAGAGAGGCCAGAAGGAAGCCAGAAGAATGAGTAGAAATTTGGAAAATAGGACCAGAGAGGAACTACTGAAAAAAGAGTAATTCCTTAACAGAAGGAGGGAAAAGCAAAAGGAAGATACGATAAGAGTTTTCCATTAAATAAAGGAAGAGAGGAATAATCCGCTTTCTGTGTCAGAAGACTGAAAGAAGAATGTCCATTTCAATGTCCATTTCAGCTCTGTTTTTTAATTTCACAAACACAGAATGCAATACACATCAGCAAACTAGGCGTATTGGTCTATTTCCTTTAGGGATACTTAAGACTACCAGATAAGAAGAATTTCAGGATTATATACATACATAAAAGTCTATTTTATAGTCTGTTCTTTTAAAAAGGTAAATCCAATAGGATGCACTAAGCAGAGCTAATATCAATATTAAGGGGGTACTCAAAAGTACAGCAATATTCCACTCTATGTAATGTTGTATATTATTTTTGGTTGACACAAAAGGGTAGATTTCAGCAGTAATATAATTTGGTAAAATATTCAATAATTAGTTAAATTTCTTTGATCAGTTAAGGTGCTCTAAACAATCACTTGGCTGACATGTAGCAAAGGAGAGTGAATTTACAAATGAAGCATGCACAATATTATTACCATTCTTGCCAATACATTATTTTAATGAGAAAGTAAATGAAGTTATTAATTTTATTCTTATTTGTATTTTGGAGATGGCTGAATATGCAAAGCAACACCACAGCCTCATCATGCTTAAACAAACACAGAGATTGTCAAAATATACAAGGTACGATATTTACGTTTGGACTTTTTTAAAACAAAATTAATTCTATAGTTCAAAAATGGTATTAAGCAAACTTGCAATGATCCACGTTACTTCATGGATAATCTGATGGGTGCTACTGTTCCTTTTTGTAGCATAAAATAAAATAAACAATAAAATAAATTTCTGAGCTTGGCCATCTGATTCACTTTATTAGCTATTTTCTGACACAAAAATCATAACTATTGTAAAATAACATCCCAAATATTTTTAAAAAATAAATAAGCATTGCCTGAACTTTCAGAAACAGACTAAAAATAAGATACTATTTATTACTCACTGCATCATTTACACCTTTTATATAATGTAATCAGAAGATTTAAATAACTCAATTTAATATTTATCCAGGAACTGGCAGCCAGTATTCCACCCTGAGGGATCTATTTTTTCATAAAAAAAAGCTCATTTTACAAGACACTGTAGTAGATTTGGCATTACCAGCACCTCTCGCAAAAACCAGGCTGGAAACTATAGTTTATCCTGCCAAATGCCTTTTGTACATATGGTGTTTAACAGCGCTTGGTAAGTCTGTAAGCCAATAATAATAGATTTCAGCTAAAAATCTGGAGACACACATATATGTAACACAAAAATTTAAATTTGCTACATGTGCATATATATTTGCTTACATACTCACACAACATATATAAACTTAGGATTCTGAATATTCTTTAGATTAATACACTAACTATAACACTGCAAAAAAATAATTTCTTTCAATTTGCAGTAGCTTCCCAAAATATAATTCTGCTCTCTTTGACATCAGAGGCAGAACTTCCAATAACCTCCGCAGTACAGAATGAGGCCACCAGAAATGCAAATAAGGCACATATTTAAAGACACTAAGTATATATTTGTAAAATCTTCTAACTTGTTCAAGGACAAGACCAAGGGCAGGCTTGGCACACTATCCTCCCCAGAATACTTGTAAAAGACAACTGAAAATGGGGAAAATCCTTACCGCTCTCGAAACAGGCGTCAAATGTCAGGTGCCCCTTTTTAGGCTGTCCACAGTACCCGGCTGGGAGAACGGTGTATTTGCTCACATTCCCAGCTATTATATCATCACTTCCCATGTCACCTGTTACTGTAAAAGCAAACAAACAAATAGGTAGATAAATATGAGTACGAAACAAAAAAAAAAAAAAACCCTACAAGAAACACCAAAAAATGCTTTTCCACATAACATGGAATCTGAGCCATTTTAACATAGACACAAGCAAGGACATTCTTTTTCTTTAACATTAGCCCAGCAATTTCTATATATTAATGGTATCATGCATTAAATCTTCTCTAACTACAAAATCACACAAATATTCCACTTAAGTTCCTGTTTTAGTAAGAAGAAGAGACAAAAAGGAGACGTTTGGGAAGCCTTCTGTAGCCAGTCCCCATGGCACTGTGTTTCTGACAGTGCTGAGGTGCAGCGAAACCCTGGGAGGAGTGAGAGATGTATCAGAGACAACATCTCTCTGGTCTCCAAACTTTCCGGCCCTTTCTCTAGTTTTCAGCTTGCTCGCATCAGCACTCAACTCAAAAAGAAAACAGGAATCATTCACTGAAGCAGTGTGAAGTGGTTTAAATACAACACGGAAAGTGATATGAATGATAACATCTATAACAGGCCTGGAGGTCTGAAAACAGGACTCCCTAGAGCCAAGGATTCCACTCCAGCCCGTGTCCCTCCCTTGGTGCATCCCAGGGAAGTCTCCGGAGCGCAGGTCGGTCTTTGGTCGGCACCTCAGCAAGGCTGAGGCCTCTCACGCAGTAAACCCAAGCACTGCCAAGGGCTGATGCTCTAAGAGTCTCCAGAGCCTCCCAGGAACTGGTTCTCCTCTGACTTGGAGAAATCCCTCTCCTGCTGCAGGAGGAATCCTGAGGTCCTTTATTGGGCAGATGGTTTATTGGCAATTCACAAAACATCCAGCCAGGAACTCGTGCATTCATGACAATGTATATGGCACAACCAAAATAAGTTACTCTGTTCTGTATGATTGTTGCAATAATAACCAGTAATAACTTGGTTATTACTTGAGGTTATGGAGATGGCAGCTTTCAGGATGCTCCCTCAGTTGGCAGCCTCACACAAAATACTTGTCACATTAGCCACGAACCACAAACTTGTCACAGGACCCTGCAGTACCCCTGATGTGAACTTCTTCAATGATTTGGAAGGAAACATTGATTTTTTTATTTTATTTTGGAAATGGACGAAAAACATATTTTTCCTGGTTTATCCCTAGTTTCCTTGGTTGGCAGCTTGGACTTTCTTATTAAGTGGTATTTGAGAGAGCTGGTTGTTAGATTTCTTAAAACCATCTGGAATTCTGATCCTTAATTTTACTTTTTTCTTGCACATGCATGTACTGCATCCATTTTTAATTTTTCTTTATACCATAAATAAATGGTATACATTTCTTTATAAATAAATAATCTCATTGAGAAAAGTATTGACAGTTCGATTATTCTATTGCTCATTTAATTTTTTTATACATATCTTGAAGACACAATAACACAATTCCTCTCTTCTCTTTTTGTGTAGGGAGAAGGTATTTCCTTTCTTTTTCTGCCTCATTCACCTTTTCTTCCTATAAACTCTCCTGGAAATGTCTTTTCCCAATTTCAAACTCTTAAGACTAGTTTAAAAAGCTAAATTAAAGAGCAGTGCAATTTGACAACTTCTTGCTTCCTGAGTCTACTACTGAATTAACTTCTGTAATTTTTACGCTTTAGTGATGGATATCTTTGCAATATTTTTTCTTCTTTTCTCTAAATGCAGCTGCATACGTGTCATGGGCAATAAAGGGTCATCTTCATTTGGACCTACCTCTGTCACAGGAGCACTCTACTACATATATTGGGCAGGGGTTCTCCAGCATTACAAGAGCTGGATCCCTATTGCAGCCTCTGTGGGCACTAACAGGATCCTTCTGCTCTACCCAGCTCCCTATTTTCATGAATCTTAAACAAATTTAGAACTTTTGAGACTGTAACTGTCACTCATATTTGGAAATTAGAAGTTATTAAAAGGGAGAGACATACACTCACAGAGGAATGTGAAAGAGTGATTACCTTCCTAGGAAATGAAACTCAGGGAAAAAAACAGTAATAAAGAAACAGCTTTTTAAAAGTTTTCTCTATTTGATAATAAAATATATGAGGACCGAAATTTTCTATACTACTGCATGATGTCTCCCCAAATATGTCTGTAGTGTATATACTGAAAACTTTGTCCTCTCTATTACACTGTCCAATAAACTGCAATACCTAAAGCATTCATTTCCAAATATGGATGGAAAAACACAGTGATACAGGGATTTTTTTAATATTTGATAAATATGGGGGGGGGAGAAAACACGTTATCATTTGCATATTTTATTATACATGAATATGAAATAACAGAAGAAATGCATAAATATAACTATTTATCCCTGTGACATTGGTTCAGCACTTTCTTCACTGTGTACTCTTTGGACAACAAATATTTAACAATGGAAAAACTATCACTATCTTCTATGCTAGAGAAAATGAAATGTGTAGAAGGCATATGATGGAATAATGGGATGATAATATCTTATTTCACTCTGATAAATAGGGCTACTGAGGCCCCTAGAAATAGACTTTTGGTCTGCAGTGATTTTTTGACATTTAAATGGGTTACTGGGGATGATGAATGTGACATAGAGCTCAATTTGTTTTATTTTTATATTGAAAACTATTTCACACAAATGTTACAAGCAATTCATACTGGCCCTGAATGATGAAAACAGCTTATTAATTAAAACTGACCTTTCCATACATAAATGTATTCCACCTCTTCAGGCAAAACACCTTAGCTGAGGTAACAAATTATATCCATGTATTACTGACACCACAGCTAAAGGGTCTGTCAGGCTTTCTATTATATACCCATATTTCCAGAGATATATAAATCCTGAATTAAAAATATGTATATCCAGGTTAACACTTGGCATATAAATTCCCAGTCAGGAAAGAAATTTGAAACTTTATTCTCTTTGAGAAGTGTTGTAACAGGGAACAAAGAAAACTTACACCTTTTCTTCCTTTTCACCACCACCTCCCCCAAAAAAAGGAAATTTAAGTGTGCTATTATTTTTAACAAAATTATTATTTGTGATTTCAAGATATTTGTTTAGACTGAATAATTACCCGTAGATAGCAATCTAGGTCACTTGAACTGTTTTCTTCAAAGGCCAAAGCTACTTGCTGGCGATACCCCCAGCTCTCTGGTTTTGCCCTGTGGAGCTTGGCAGGACTGTCAATACAGTTTCTCCAGGTCCACTAACACTGCGGGCAACCTCAGGCCTCACAGGAGGCCTGTGTAGCTACACGGCCATGCAGCTCAACGCGAGAACCAGGGCACGGAGAGAAGTTGGGGAAAACCTGCAGGTCTGCCCCAAGAATGGGTGACTTGCCAAGGTCCACAGGGAAGGAGTATCAGGAGAATCAGGGAGCCCCCTGAGAGCAGAGGAGAGAGACAACCCACCTCCTTCTCCTGCTCAATACTCACCCCTAAGTGCCAACTAAAAGTAGTACACTGCTTGCAAGTCCTAAAAGACAGCGGGGAAATACTTTTTACATAAAGATGGAAAAATGTGAAGAGGTTGTATTCATAATGCTGCCACAAGACAGTGTGGAAGTTGGCAGAAGAGAGAGCTACATCTCCCCTGCCCTGGAGACTCCTCTGGAGTCCTTAGATGTTGCAGAAGGAAGTTCGAAGTGTCTCAGCAAAGTGTCTCACCTGCTTCTCCCTGGCCTAAAGTCTTCTACTCAGGAGCGAGAAGAAAATCATCAAATAGCCATTAATTCAAAGTCAGCTAATAATACTAACATCCCCTTGTAGGATCTTTATTACACAGTATTTTGAATATTCAGGGGGGAAAAGGTAATATTTTGTAGTATGTTAGCTTTAATTAATCTCTGAAGATGCGAAAGTGCAGTTCAGCCCTTGAACTTCGTGTTATTACGGAGTCCAGACACACCCCGACCCACGGGTGCGGGTGGCGAAGGGCAGGCCCCGGCCCACGCACGTTATCGGCTTCGTGTCCGTGCAGCGGGGCCAGGAGGGGCTGCTCAGAGGGCACCGTCGTCTCCGTGCGGGCCCAAGGGAGGCCGCTGCCTTGTGGCAGGAGATCTGGCTCCTCAGGAGATACTGTTCTCACAGCCGGGGAGCCCCGCGCAGGTTTTCCTGACTGAAGGCCAAGGCGTACGAGGGAATCTTGTGGGGAAGGGAAGCAGGACTTCGATCAGAAACAAAATTAATGGGCAGAAAGAGAATCGGCTGCAGCACATACTGCTCATTACACTAAAGGAGATCAGATTCTTCTTTGAGGAAGGCTTATATAAGACAAGCAAAGGCAAAAATAACTTAATAAAGAACTTTTCTCCAATTGTGCTTCAATTTTGTCCATTCGTTTAAGAGGTTGGAAGTCACACAGCTATTTTATGCTAATTCTTCATAGCTTAAACTCCTGGAGTCTCCAGCAAAATCCCTTGGATTTACTTTTACCACAGTATTAAATGTTAATGGCAATTTTCTATCAAGCATAAAATCTGCAGGTGTCTGAAATCTATATAAGGTACTATATAAGGTTTTAAAATAAGACCTGGACAGAGTTTTCTGGTATCAACATTCATCACGGGGTTGTCATCGTGGATCTATTTCACATCAGAGCAGTAAAAATGAACAAATCAGCTCTAAGGAACAAGGACTCAGCAGAGGAAGAGTTTGAGAAGTTCCAGAACTTTTTACTATTCCCCCAAAATTAAAAGAATAAAGCCAAGGGTATTTTTTTCTTTTTCTTTTTTTTTTTCATTTAAGCAAAGATAAAAACATAGTATTTGCTGCAGAAAGTAAATATCATGCAAATCTTGGTAGGAGTATATTTTCTAAAAGCTGCAGAGTTTCTAGAGGGATCTCTCTCTTTAGCAAGCAATAGTTATTCTCTGAAATGAGTAAACAACAAGCCCACTTCCAGCTGTGACAGACTTCCGAATCCATGGAGTTACCAGCCGGCAGCTATGCTCATGCTACATTAGCTGGAAGGAAAGCACA